TAGCAAATGGCTGCAATATAACAAAGAGTGAAAAATTGAAGGGGGTCTGAATACTTTCCGTACCCACTGTATATGATGAAGTGATAGACTGATATCGGCGAGGTTAATCTGAGCGTTTTAAGATTGTCGAAGACTGTTAGTTAGTGTCCCATTGTGTTTGTTTCAATATCTATTAATAAGTGTTATTTGATGATAATTGTTTTACCTTTTTTTTAATTGAGCAAATATTATGTAATATTACTTATTTAATTGCAATGAATTTAAAATTAAAATAAATACTCCTTTTTGCTGTCATTACAATATTTAATTATTTCAATTTTTGCCCACTAGATATTCAAAATATTGGCATTCACCAATGAAAAACCTCACTACAGATCGACCTCTAGTTGTGTTTGTCATTTTGAATTCAGTGGTCCTTATTAATGAAACATTAGCAGAATTATTTGTATTATTATGTAAATCATTTGTAAATCCATTCTTATGTAAATTTTCAGATTCATGAAAGTGTTTGTATTTTCAAAAAAATGTACAACAACTTTTTGCAAAATGATGACACTGCATTTTAATAAACACCGTTTACAATAATAATAGATATGGCAACACAATTAATGAGTTACCTTTTTTTCAATTTTAGTTTTTATTTCATTTTCTAGTTGTTGTTTTTTTTTTTCATTTTGTTTTAGTCAGTTAAATAATAGTAAACTTGATGTGCATCCTATTCATGAATATTATGGAATTCATCAGCATGCACACGTTTAACTATAAAACAGTTACAAAACTTTTGTGAGAAGGTACATTTTACTTGGAAATGTTTCATACATCTAGAAAAGTTTCATGAATGAGGCCCATTCATTGCAGTAGCAAACTGAACCTTTGGTTGAAATGTATTGTTTCGTCTGGTAAAGCCCTCTTCTCATCTCCATTTCTTTAGACTTATTTATGTAATCTGATGGTCTGGCTCTGTTCAAATGCTTAAACGGATGTTTTGCTTGTCTGATCAGCAACAAGGCAACAATCAGTCAGTCAGAGGAGGAACTCTCTCCAGGACCAATCCCCCAACACAGAAACCTCCCAGCCCACCCTTGGCAGGACGAGGCACTCTTGGGTAAGATGTGATTTCGTCATTTACTTCAATGTGAGAAGAATAAAAACATTTCTGACCAGTATGATAAATCAGACAATAGTTTGACACAGACAGAAGTTTTCAGTAGCAAAGCCACAAATCATATATTATTTTAAGTATTGTTTATAACATTTATGCCTGTTTGTTTTAAATGGATGTACAGGCGTAACAATCCTTATAAAACACTTGAGCCGGTGAAACCTCCAACAGTGCCCAATGATTACATGACAAGTCCAGCTCGCTTGGGCAGCCAACACAGTCCAGGACGCACTGCGTCTCTCAACCAGCGACCGAGAACCCACAGGTAACATCTATCCATCTACTGTATCTATATATCTGTCTGTCTGTCTTTATTTTGTTATATTTTATTAGTATTATTGATAATAAAATTAGAGTTTAATTATTTATTTATTTATTCGTATGGCTTTAGTACAATTTTAATTAATATTGTTTATTATTATTATTATTATTATTATTATTATTATTATTATTATAATTATTATATTA